CTCGGAAAGCGACAATGCGATTGAAGATAGCGATTCATAAGATCAACGACATGATGATGAAGTTGAGCAGCAAAGTCACACTAAGAAAAACTGGAAAAGCAAAAGTAGATTTTGAACCTCCAGCGTAGACTGCCAATTCAGCTAAACGAAAACGAGTAGAGGATGCCATTGATATGGGGCAAGGCGATGAAATGTTGCCTGGCATATTGAAAAAGATGACCGATGTAGCGATGGTGCCACCCATCCTCAGGGCAGGGTTGAGATCAGCCAGCTATAAAACCAAGAGGAGTGGCGGCACTCCAACTTGAGCAACATTAGAAATGGAGATACTCAGCCAATGTGGTGAACGTACCCTCAGGGATTTCAAAGAATCATGCATGAACCACGGAAAGGGAGGCGTCACAGGACAGCTAACTCCAGTGGAACACAATCGATTGACAGTATCGGAGACAGTCTCCATGGACGAAACCGCCAGTGGGTACATGGAAAAGTTGGAATACAGGAACTCGGCTAGATAAAATGTCACCCGGAAGAAATCACCAAGGGCACGACTATGAGTCAGAAGGCTTGTGGAACGTTAGCCTCTTCCAAAAAGCACAGGGAGACTGTGGATCAACTGATGAGTTTGGCGTGGAGGGCACTGATACTACGCCATTTGAAGACGAAACCGCGAACTACCCCAAAAGTGTATGCTCTGATAGCAAAACCGTACGTCAGAACTGAGCTGCAGTTCAGAATTGCTTGGCGTATGACGGGAATGAAGATGGGAAAGAACGATTCGGAAGAAAGGAAAAGATCAAAAGAAGAAAAGATGCTCTTGATGACGCATTTAAGAGACCTAATGATTTGCGATGAAGCGCCAGTAGCGTGTGCGGAACTGAGAGACGCTCTCTGTTTCGTCCGGTTCATGTTGGAACAGATGTAGGTACCAGCGCTAAACACCTGTACGAAAAATCTGAGAGAAGGCAATGAACTGGTGAAGAAATTCCTCTTACAAGCGCTTTTAGACTTTCACCTAGGTAAGCCACTGAGAGTGAATATGGAAGAAACTGTGTAGCTAGAACCCTTGAGAACGATCAACGAATTCCTTAAATTATCGAATAAGGAGCTTCGGCTCATGAAAGAAATGATGGGAACACTGCTGAAGTCCAGTGAATACTGTGGATCGATCAGAAAAGAGTCATACCACTATGTGTCGGGAATTGTTGGAATGGCGTAAAATCCTTTCATCATTGAAGACATACGTGATTATTACTTCGGCTATGAACAGGCTTTGTTAATGAGATTCTATTGTCGAGATTAGCAATGATAAAAATATTGAAACTCAGCAAGTCAAGCTAGGACTTGTATTGGAAGAAAAGGTGACCGTACCTTCCATACCAAAATCCGATAACAGATTGGAGTTTGGATTGGGATTCTCATATGAGTTACTGAGTACAAGCTTGATGGTAGTTTATGAAGTAATGAAACCATCATGATGCCCTGTTCCACATGCCGATACGTTATTACGAGCGACACAGGACGTACAAAGAGAATTGAATGCAGATTGCATTTTGCGCGATCTCTACACCATCTACAATTTGATGCCTGCAGCTTCTAGGAACAAACGAGAGTAGATCGTGGAGTTGCCTGACTGGGGACCAGAAGACTGGATCAAACCTGGTAGCTGTCTGGTGAAAATCTTTGGAATAGAAATTCACATTTGTAGAGGTCTTGACTGCGTAACAACACTCGCGATACAACATAAACAACTGAAGACTTTGTATGGAAATTAATGATGAAAACGAGAACGGAAACAGTACTAATGGCAGACTGTCCTGGAAGAACTGAATTAAATCGAGTGACTGCGCTAGGATTTTACAGCATGTTTGGTTCTTTAGAGTCACTAATGAAATCTAGAACAGTTAGTTGAGATTGGCACGGCCACCACTATAGAAGCGTTTCCGGGAGTTTTACAGACTGAACAGAAGCATATCAGACAGTGGAGAGAAGCAATAGAAGTAGAGATCAACATCAGACAAAGTGCAACATATCGCAGACCGTCTGGAACCTGATATCTAGTAGGCTCGACGATAGCTCGAACAAGCAAAAGCCGATATCCAGTACAATTCGCGGCAGTGGATGTAAAGAGCACAAGGACGATAGTGGATCAAGCTTTCTCAATGCTAAAATGTGTAGGTTTTGGGAGAATATGTGAGAAATTTTATAAGTTTTTTGTAAGATATTCGCCGCAGTTCCAAAAAGAACCAAGGACGAATTAGAACCGATACTTGGAAAGAAGTTCATGGGATAAGCTAGAGGGAATTTTAGCAATTTTCAAAGACAAAAGCAAAAAGGATCAACAGCGACGGACTACAATGAAGTAGACAATAGTGACGAAATCCACCGAGTTATGCTGGAGTTTGAACCACTGCTGGAAGCGCCAGGAAACCGAATTGGAGAAGCATCATGCTAACGCAAGATGAGTTTCCATGCCATTGTTTTCTACAAACATGGTAGTATCCTGGACGAAGTAATCTGGTTTTGAACAGGGACTCTGGAGAGCTGCTCTCGATGGGCTTACCAGACTCATCAAAGCCCATAATAATCGTGATAGTTGGAGTTATGATGGCTATTAGACCTGGAAGCTCATCTTAGAGAGAACAACAGACAGGAAGCAGCGGCTAAAGAACAATTGGAAGACCTAGATCTACTTGAGACAATGTGCAAAATTTTGAAAATTCCTCTGGAAGTAACGAAAATTTTGGCCAGAAGACGACTGATGCCATAGTTCAGACTGCCTGGTTGTACGGGTATGCCGAAAAGCATTTGTCGATACAGCAGAGTATACAGTTGGTATCAGGTGGATATAGGATCAGAAGCCTTCAAGCGAGCTTTCGTGACTGCAGTAACTTTCGTGACTGCAGAATAGCATCGGAATGCAGTAACTACCGCAGTGAAAAAAAAACGTTGAAAACGATTGAATGTGACGGAACAGAAAGAGAAGAAAGGCTGAAGGAAGGTCCGCAATTTTTTGCTTCTTTTTATATGTACCGATAAAAAAAACATGGTAGTTTTTGAAAGTACGTTCATTATAAAATATGAGCTCAAACCAGGAGAAGCGTATCTTTTTTTGGTACCACGCACAATTTGGTACCACGCACTTAAAATTAGCAGCATGTTACTGGGGATTGAAAACAGAAATTACTCTTTCCTTTGAATGGGTCTATAGAAAACGAAAATGTAATCGTTTCTAATTTACACGATGTACTTGAGTCTTTCTTGCTTTGAACTTTGATTTGATTATAAATTAGTTGGTTGCACGTGTTTGGTAATTCAGTTTTGTATTTTTTTCAATTTTGTATTTTGTAAGTTGAAGTCATCTAAGATGGTTGTCAATTGTCAAATTGGCATATAACACTCGGCCTCATTTTGCAGTTGCAAAATAATTTAAGAAAAAAGGGTGGGGTAGTTCCTTTTTATAACTTTAAAACGCTGGCTTAACGGTCGTTTAAGTGTCAGTTGAAGTTATTGGCTATGGTTGTCGGCGCAAGGCAGCTTTGGGGTGAGGTTCTCATTGTCGTGAATCTTCGTTTGCTGGTTGATTGCAATAATCCGGACTAACAGGTGCTAGTCTAATGGCTGGTATTGACGCAATTTTGTCTCTTATTTTGACGAAGCAAACGCGGATCTGATCATCATCGGTTGGTTTGTTTCCTGTGATCCGTCCAATTGGCCAGAGTCCTCGTGGCCTCATATCCCGAAGGATCCAGACAATTTCTCCTATTTTGATAGGCGACGTCTTCTTTGTCCATCGTTGTCTTTGCAGTAGTGTTGGGATAAACTCCTTCATCAGGCGTTTCCAAATATGGGTTGCGAGTTGTTGGGCGAATTTCCATTGTCGACTGAGTGTTGAGGGCTGTTGGGTTTGTAGAGGTGGCATGCTGGCATGCGCTCTCCCGAGAAGAAAATGATTTGGGGTGAGGGATTCAACATCATCGGGCGATGCTGAAATTGTAGTGATGGGTCTTGCGTTCATGAAGTGTTCAACTTCGCAAAGAACGGTGTTGAATATGTCGCCTGTTAAAATCTGGCTTCCTATGATGGCATAGAACGATTCTTTGACTGATCTTATGAATCGTTCCCATACACCTCCGAAATGAGGAGCATAGGCAGGGTTGAAGATCCGTTCAATCTGATGGTTGGTATAGAATTGTCGTGTAACATCTGCGTCGAAGTGTCTGTTGAGTTCTTTTTCGGCTGCGGTGAAATTTGTACCATTATCAGAAACAATTTTGGCTGGTTGTCCTCTGCGAGCGAAGAATCGTCGTAAGGTATTGATGAAGGCGTCGGCTGATTGGTCCTGGCACATCTCAAGATGTACGGCTCGTGTTGTTAGGCAAGTCATTATAACGCCGTAGCGTTTGTTGTAGTTTCCTGCGGTTTTCGAAGCAAACGGTCCAAAGAGATCTAATCCTGTTTGTTGAAACGGGAAGGGTTTATCTTCTGGAAATCTGAAGGCGGGTGAGGCGCAAGTTGCGGCTGTAGTCCAGTTGCCTGTTGTCGTCGGCAGTCGTAACAGTTTTTTATGATCTTGTCAATGTGTGCGCGAACACAGAGAATCCAACACTCGTTTTGAAGAATATTTCTCAAGTGCTGGCGTGGCGAATGCTGGTTGTCTTTGTGGGTTTGTCCTATAAAGAGGTGAACTGCTGGGTGGTTTCCATCAAGGATAATCGGGTGTTTTATTTAATAGTCCATTGAGATTTCTCGAGGCGTCCACGTGCTCGCAAGAGTCCGTCTTCGTCTAGAAATGGTGATAGGTGTCGAAGTCTGCTAGTTGTGTTGATTCGTTTATTTTGTGTCAATGCGTTGAACTCTGGTTTGAAGCTGTCTCGTTGCGTCAGCTTGAAGATAAAATCCTTTGCGGCAATCATGTTGTTGCTTGTCAGTTCGGTGGTCGGGCTTTCGTTGCGGGACTGTAGTCCTTTTTCTTTAAAAATCCTGGCGGCACGCATCAATTATGCAGTTGTTCTGAGATTTCTTGTCCATTTGGAGAATATGCTGTAATCGATGAAGCTTTGTTCAGTCTTTTCGGTGGAAGCTTGAAAAGCTAGCATTGGGGTTGTTGCTATTTCATCCATTTGTCCAGTTTGATCGTTGAGTTGCAAGGTATCCGTATTGGCGTCGATTAACTGTAGCTTTGGCCAGTTGCATTCTGGTTCACATATGAATTTTGGTCCGGTGAACCATCTTGACTTGTTACTGAATTCTGATAGGGGTATTCCACGGGTTCCGTCGTCTGCTGGATTTAGGGGTCCTGGGCAATGATTCCATTGACTCGCTTGGGTGCTTTCTAAAATTTCTGTAACTCTGTGAGCCACAAAAATTTGTTGTCGTTTATCAGATCCCTGTATCCATTGAAGCGCTGTTGTGCTGTCTGTCCACATATGCGTAGAGTTGATGTCAGTCCTTTGTTCTCTGCGAATGAAATTTGCGAGGCGAGCACCAAAAACTGCGGCTTGTAGTTCCAATTTAGTTATTGTGTGTTGTTTTAAAGGAGCCACTCGAGCTTTTCCTAGAACAAAGGCGCTGCAGATTTGCCGAGTGGCACTGTTGCTGTAGACAAAATGAGCGACTGCTGCTAGGGCGCTGTAGGAGGCAGCTGAAAAAACATGAAGAGCGATGTTGTCGTAGCTGTATCCAAAATAGTGTTGGGGTATTCCCACTGTCTGTAGATCGTTTCTCTCGTCGAGAAGCTCAAACAGTTCAGGTATCATTTCTCGTGTCATTTGGTCGTCCCACTTCATTCCTTTTCTCCAAATTGCTTGCTGGATTATTGGTAGTCGAATTGTAATAGGTGCTGCTATTCCAATTGGGTCAAAGATTGAAGAAGCTGCGCGAAGTAGGTTCCGTTGTGTAGGTTTCTTCTGGAAGAGTTCGTGTAGTTTGTCAGTAGTGAAGCTGAGTGTATCGTTACTTACTCTCCATCGTATTCCGAGAATTCGCTTGAAGATTTTGGGGTCGTTGATTTCGTCTATGGTGATGGATCTATGTTCCTCTGCTATTGCTTGCAGAATTCTATGATCCGTAGTGATCCACTCCGTCAGGTTGAAGCTTCCTTGTTGTAGTACGTATCGAAGGTCTTCTATGATTTTCACTGCGGTGTCGATGTCGTCGGTGGCTTCGAAGAAGTCGTCCATGTAGAAGTTCTCGTAGACAAGTTTTTTGATGTGGGGATGGCTTTCAGCATTGTCGTCTGCGCAAGTTCTTAATGCGTAAATTGCACAAGTGGGAGAATATATGGCTCCAAAGACGAATCGAGTGTACTCAAAAAATTCGGGTTCTTCCGCTCCCCAGAGGAAACGAAGAAATTTTCTGTCTTCGGGGTTAACAGAAACCTTGCATATACATCCCTTCAATGTCGGCAGTGATGGGATGCTTTCCTTCGCGAAATCGGGTAATTACTCCTAGTAGATTGCAGAGCAAGTCAGGTCCAGTGAGAAGCATATCATTCAGACAAACTCCTTTAAATTTGGATTTGGCATTGGAAAGACGGCCTTTGGTATTACCTAAGTAAAGTCAAGTACTTTTTGACTGTTCGACTCTGACACTTTTCTAAAGGCAGTTTCGGCGCAAAAATTTTCAAATATTGAGGGGAGAGAGCGCGCCAAAAAACTTGAATTTTCGGTCAAAAAACCTCTTCTTTGCCTGTTTCATTGTTTTCTTTTTCAAAGTTTTTCTCAATACATAAACAAAACTTCAGTAGGTCAACTGATTGCTGGCTATGAACAACTCAACCATCTGCTTTTGTTTATCAATGGCATTTTGCAGCGTTTTGTTGTTTTTCGTGAGTATGAGAGATAGCTCAATTGGTCTTATTGGGTGGGGGGATTACTCAATTGATCCAATTATTGCTCATGATAAAAGCTTCCTGCAATTTCACCGCAATCATCACTGTATAGTGCTTCGTAAATTTTGTCTAACTTTTATTTGGAGAATTGGAAATTGTGGGGAACCTTATGGAGTTTAAATACAATTTTTAAAATTTAGTCGCATCAAATTTTGGTTTCGATGCATCATCTAGAAAAAGATCTAGAATACCCGATGCAAACTAGACAGTTAAATTTCTAATAAAAAATCAAAAACTAGAACGTTTTATAATAGTGTTCTTTTTAAATGAAGGCAAGTCTTGCAAAACACAATTGAAATTTTGTTGTTCAAATAAGAAAATTATGATGATTGCGTATCTGTAATTTGCTAAAGTAGACAAGTTTACACTCGCTTTGGCACATTTTTTTTGGCTTACTGTCAAAAACTTACTCCATAGACCTTAGACGGCCGTCGGAACATTCAGGGCTTCGCCGTGAAACGATCAGCCTAGTTTTGATTTACTCGACTTGAGTAGTGGTTATGTTTTAGTACTGACCCGACTAAAATAAAAAGTTGATAAAAAATGCTCAAAACAAATAAATCTCATTCAAGGTGAAGTATCAATTAAGCTTTATGTACAGCAGTTTTTCAATCAATTCAAGCATTATATCAGAGACCAAGTAAGATTGAACTAATTTTTTTTTGTGGTCAAGATCATTCTGGTGAAACAAATTCGTGTCAGCAGCAGATCAAAACAGAAGTTTATCAAAGCACCGTAATAAATCTTTCAAATCATAGCTAGTTGACCGGATTTCCACAGTAGATTGAATAAAAGGTTGAAAGTTCTCGGGTCGAAGTGCTCACTTTATGATTCGACGTCTTGATTGGACTGGTTAATTGGACCGTCTCGACCGAAATTCGGTATAATTTGACCGAAACAATTTTACTCGACCGTGTTCGACCCAAGCAAGCCTTTTTTCGACCGTGCTCGGCCGAGAAAAATGTGCTCGCGCATGCTCGAGCCAAGCAAGATATGTTTCGACCGTGCTCGAGCAATTTTGGGTATGTTTCGCCTTTCAAACAGCGTGAATTATCCAAATTTAAAAGTTATAATTCATGCTTTTCTGGTAACATCGTATGATGAATTTTATTAGAATTCAAGTATTAAAGATAGCTGCAATTTAACTGTTTGTAGAGATAGACGATTTTAAAGCTGGTTTTTTTCATCTTTTGGGATACTGTTTTGCAATTTGAGTCAAAAATTTGAGTCATAAATACTTCAATAATTGAAAGAAGTAATTGTTCTTCTGTTTAATCCGAATTACCGTGGATCAATCCATATGTTCGAATGCTTCGACTGTGCTCGAGGTATTTTTCGACCGTGCTCGACTCTGCTCGAGATTTGTTTCGAATTTGTGCTCGACCCAAACCCCTGTCTCGACTGTTCTTTTTCTGTCGAGCACTGACGTGTGGTCGAATTTGAAAGTCGAAACAAAAAGTGAGCGCCTCGACCCGGGGTCGATTTCCAGCAGCCAATCAAACTTGACTTTATGGCTTTATTCATCCGAATAGAAATTGAGGGAGTGAGAGAGGGTGTTTCTTAAATGGGTCAAGCAAAACGTGACTGCTTTGTGATGACAACGTACCATCTAACCCCATTATTGCGTCACCATTGTTCTTTTTTAAGGCCATACCGTTTGAAAATTAAGGTAATTGTTTGTTAATCCAAGCTGCCTTGCTCTAAGATTGCTGGTAATAATTTAAACATATGTAATTATTTAGAAAAAAGAAATTATTTTAAGCAAATACACAGTTAATTTTTTCATAGAAGCTCGATGAGTTTGTTTCTTACTATTCAATTAGGATTTTTCTGCTAACCAAAGCCTCGAAGCATCTCACAAAAAATTCTAAAAGTTCGAATAGGGCAAAAACACTCCAGCCCAACCAGAGCCCAATATTACCTCCAAAGTCAGTTAGAACATCCCACATATCATATTCTGCCTTTTCTTTGATCATCGCAAAGTTCAAAGCTTCGTAGAAAATTTCTAATCGCACAAAATTCTCTTGTATATCTTTTTTTATTTCCTCGGCACTATGGCTGACGTTGATCAAATTGCTCATGTATTTCACAATTTTTTTCGACTCCGATTCCAACATTTTAGAGGCAAAGAAAGGGCTGTATTGTTTGGAAGGCCAGGAAGATCTCGATTGTTTCACTTTATATTCTGTTGTATAGCAAGACGGCGGGCAATCGCAAGTCAAACTGCCGCTTTTGAAATCAGAGTAAATTTGTTTTCGGCATTCACTTGATGTTTGGTCGTGCCATTTACACTGATCAGTCCAAATGCCACCGTATGTATCGTCACACATGCACTTTCTCAGCACTTCGTTTGAGACACATTTTTTAATGCACGACTCTTGAGTGTATTTGGGCCACTTTTTTTTGAACGCTTCGTCTAACATTAATGATTCCGGCCAGTTTTCAGTACAACTGCCATATGGAGAACCCTTTCGATTAACAACTTCCATTTTTACAGCTATGAATGTAGCCTCGCCGGCTGCAATCGGGAAACTTTCGGTTTGTAAATCGGGTAAGACTCTAGGATCGTGAACAAGTACTCGCGCACCTACGTTTGGCGCAAGCAACCCAATGTATTCAGCATAATCTAGAAAGAGTGTCAATTTCAGACCAAACTCATTCCCTGTTCTACTGCTATTTCGCAGCTCTCTGATATCGGTTTTTCTTTCAATGTGCTGGTTTCTGAAATGAAAACTACTACTTTAGCTTCAAATCCATAATTTGTCTACCATCTTCTATTGGAATTTTGTTTTACATTTTTCAGTGGAATCTTAGAAAAAAAACATACAAACCAGAAGAAGATATTTTCCATAAAGTAGTGATTCACTACTTCTCGAAATTCATCTGCATTTAAAATTATCTATTTCAGCAACTTCGTGGTAAATTGTAAACTAACAAAAACCGCAAAATTTATCACAAAAAATTTGAATTTAACTGATTAAGCAACTTTGTATTAATTAAATAATTACTGTTTATGAGAAAAATTTGACCAAGAAGAAGCCATCGTACAGTTTTAAGAATATTTCATAACACAGAGGTCAAAGCTAGAAAACAGTCTGTTTTTTTTTCAAGATTTACCGTTGATGAGAATTTTCTGAAATTAAAAGAAACTGAAGTTTAGAACCAAAATTTAAAAAAAAAAAGTTTCTAATTACAGCAAACTAACTAAATTTCAAGCAATTCAACTCAAAATTTAGAAAATTTTAAAAATATTTTTCTCAATTGAAGTTTTGAAAACAAACAAAAAGTGAAATCAAATTTTCTCCGATATTACCAAATAAAACAGAATGACCAAATTGAAAATAAGTTCATATAGTCGTCTGAGTTTTCCGAAAAAAAATTCTTGATTTCCGAAAAAATCTTTGTTTAGTTCTTCACTCACTCTGATTAATACATCTGATTTACAAATTATTCATTGCAATACGTAATAATACACGATAGTCCTAACTCTATTGTAAAAAAAAATCCTGAAAATTTGAATGACTTTGACGAAAAGATAGAAATAGTAGAGCAAAAACTAACACCTGAAACAGTGGTAAATTGCAAAAAACCATCAATTTTGAATAACGTAGACGCAAACAAAAATTTGGACTTTTACAATGAAAAAACTAACTGTACACACAGCTCTAATTTTGGTTATCACGTGCTGAATTTAAACTCACGACAAAAAGTGACACTAACTGGGGCTTTCTCTATTGGTACATGATTCACTTAAATGACGAGCATGGTGTGCCCCTTTCACGCAAATGTCTCAGATATTTCGTATGCCAACACTTTAATACTATTTTACGCACAAATACAAAACTTTAATAATCAGAAGCAAAACAATTCTCTAAATCAATTCTATCCTAATCATCGGCTACGCATTAATTTCAATAACTTTGCTATGCTATCAAACCCCCATATAAGTTTATGCAGCGATAGAATAACTAAAATTAGTTAGGAAGTTTTTAGAATAAGGCTGTTTTTTTTTAATTTTGACTTTTCATAGATGACAAGGATACCAAATAACCTTTTAACTAGCTTCTTTGTACGGTTTATCGGTTGTAACGAAATTTTAAGTTTATCGGTTGTTTAACAAATTTTGATAAAAGTATTAACTTTCAAAGATTTGCCAAATTTTTCCAATAGGTCTAGTTTGATGTGTCTGAAGCGCACTTGTAAATTGATCATAGTGAATATCAAGCGCACTTTATCATTATCATTATTAGTAAAAAAAATAATAATACTCCTAGTGTTAATACTCTTCAT